AGGGCGTGGGCTACGGCCTGGACGACACGGACAACAGCTACATTGAGGCCTGCTTGCGCTTGGCTTTTTACAGCTTCAGGTACCGCCAGATCACGCCGAGCAGCTGGCATGTCAGCGAAGGCTACGCAGCCAAGAAATCAGAACTACCAGGGCCAAAAGGGAGACGCCTTCTGCACATGCTCCGAGTTTTGGGCAAAGGCTTCTTCGCCGCTTGTATTAGAGCCCGTCAACCCGAGCAGCTACCACCTGAGCATCATGGATACGCACAAGGCAGAAGGCGAGAAACATTGATCATGGCCTCGATGGCCACGGCCTACACCCTGAGGCAACTGCAGTGCTCCTACGTGGACAGTTTCAAGGACATGACCAACGCCTTCCCCTCGGTGAGCTGGAAGCACATGGAGCTGGCAGCAGAGTCGATGGTGAGGGATCGCGACATACGCCTCGCACTACAACGCATCCGACGAGCGCAAGTACTTCTACCCGCCGCTGAAGGTTTACTTCACTTCAGACCGACAGAGGGAGGCCTCATGGGGGACCCTTTCATGGCGCGCTGCTTCTCCCGTGCCTTTGCATGCGCTATTGGCCCCTGGTCGTCACGCTGGCCGGCGGAAGATGGCACGGGCGAAAAGCTAAAGGTCAAGTGCCCGATCACCAACCGCATCGTGGACATGAGCCTGCACATCTACGCCGACGACGTCAACGAGAAGATATTGCAGCACCCGCCAGCCGAGAAGGAGAGCGCAAATCTGGACATGCTCAGGCACAAGCTGATCCGCTGCGACGAGATCCTGAACGACAACCTGTCCATCATAGGCCTCGCGCAGAACACCAGCAAGCAGGTCAACCTGATGGCCTGTCATGGACTGGGCAGCGGCATTGCCAGGCGCGACCTTCGGCTGCGGGAACAACGACAAAAATGGCCAGGGCAACTTGTAGATCAAGCGAGATATCTGGGACCGATCATTACCAGTATTCAGAGTTTCAGAATCGAGCTGGCGAAGAGGGTGCAGGCCGCCAAGGCGGCATTTTACTCGATGGGCTCTTTCTGGAGCGCACCGCGCCTCCCGCGAAGATGGAGGAGGACCGCGCTGCTGGGGAGAGTTGTCAACTCCGCCTTCTCCTCAGTAGAAGCCTTCCTGCCGACCAAGCGCCAGCGCGACGCCCTCGACGCAGCAATGGCATCGCTGGCGCGGATCGCAATGAGGGGAAGAGCCTGCACCTGGAATGAAGACGGCACGGTCCGACCGCTGACCAACGCTGTAGCCCTTGCCCACTGGAAGATAGAAAGAGCTGCTGAAGTGGAACTTCGAGTCAGGAGGCTCGAGTGGCTGCAGCAAGCGGCCAGGGACAGGAGCAGCAACGCCCAGCTCTTCGCGGCAACGTTCGGCACGATCAGCGGCCAGGCCATGGCGACGGCGCGCTGTCGAGCCAGGCGAACCCCTGGGCCAAGCGCGCACAGGAGGATGTCAACCAGCTGATCAACTGTTCAGAAGAAGCACAGAGCCTGCTGGAGCCCGCAGGCCCTCACATAGTTGCTCGGCTGAAAGACCCGCTCTACAGAGCAGAATTCTGCAACATCGACGTAAGCATTCTCAGAGACAAGGGATTCCGAACAAACACCCCGCCCCCAACATGTGCGCCCCAGTTGACCACTGAAACGAACGAGGAGAAAGAGATGAAGTTCGAAGAGGAGGCGGAGGAGGATTTCAAGTGCAATGTGGAGGTGGACGGCAGGAGCTGTGGGAGGACGTTCTTCTCGAAACGAGCACTTCGATCGCATGTTAGACAGGCCCACAATATCGTCAACGTGTGCTCGTTCTTCGACCCCGCGAACGTTTGCATCATCTGTGAAACCATTTTCGCCTCAGAAATCACAGCTCGTCGACATCTCGCTCGGTCTATTCAACGGGGGTACTGCGTAGTCGATCTCGCTCGGGCCCTAACCGCGGCACATGAACAAAACTCACTACACTGCCCTGGTTGCGAACACGTAGCTGGATCGCGGCTCGAGCTTCGACTTCATCTGGCGCGGCATCTGCCGTTTCTTCCTGACACACGTGCGCCCGCCACTGTGGGCAAAAACCTCTGCTATGGCCGACGTGGACGCCGACAAACCCGAGCGGAAGACAGACGCAGGCGTGGGAGCAATGATGGCGTGGAGACTCGCGAGGGACAGGAGATGGGCAGGATCACAAGAAGCAGCTGTCGACGACACGAAGAAGGACAAGGCAGACGAGCCCGTCGCAGCAGCCAAAGGCTCGGCGGGCAAAGGCGCCTCCAAGGCGCAAGTCGTGCGGCCACTCGACCTCCTGCTCGGCATGCTGGTGCTCAGCATGGAAGACAACCTGAAGCCGGTGATCGGCGTGGAGGTCGCGTCGGTGCTCGGCCTGCCCGAGATGCCAGCAGTGGCCGCTGCCGCGACGGAGGGCGAGGACTACCACAAGGCGGCGAAGAAGCCGAGGGACGACCACAAAGAAGACGAGATGGTGGACACGGCGCAGCTGGGGAGCACGCGCATCCACGAGTGGAAGGACCGCACCCGCGCCCTGCTCGTGAGTACCGAGGAAGGCCAGGCGAGGAGCATGCTCACCACCCACGGGAAGGACTACTTCATGAAGGAGAAGGTGAGGTACTCCAAGGTGCGCCTCCCGCAGGGCAAAGAGATGAAGAAAATACCCTAGCGAACGAAGGGCAAGGTGCGTCTCCAATGTGCTTCACCAACCAGCAAGGTGGCGCAGGACCTGGACACGATCCTCGGGGGCGAAGTCGAGCGCCAGGGCGGAGAGATCACGATCGGAGAGGCAGTGAGGGGTGCCTTGGAGAGGGACGCCAGAGCGCCGTGGAACAAGCTCGAGGGCGCGTAGGGGACCAGGAGCTGAGAAGGATGACGGCTCTCGTCAACTCCGCCAGACTACAGAGCCTGGTATCTAGAGGCTTCTTGAGTAGGGAGTCTGTCCTGGCCTCTTTCACCTCTTCCCTCTCCGAGCAGAATCTGGAGGACTCCAGAGGCCGCTTGATCCCGTTAGCGAAAATTCAACCGCGCCCCAAAGGGGGACAAGGTAAGGGCAAAGGTAGGGGGAGACAAACTCGTCCCCCTCTGAGAGGGAGGGGGTAAGGGGCCGCCCGCCTGCTTTATCCTGGCTGGGGGGATGCCGTTGGGGGCCCCCCTGGCCAGGAGAAGGCAGCGGGTTGCCCTCTCCCCCTCCGCGTTAGGCTGGAGGGGCCGCCACCCTTGCGCCCAGCGTCTTCCCCGAGAGGGCCGCAGGGGGGCCCGTGTCTTTTCCGCCAGTGCCAGCGCAGGAAAGAGTTGCAGCCTGAACACAGGCATGCCGCCCAGCGATCAAGACTCGTCGGATAGCGCTGCTTGCTTCGCCAAGGGTTGTCTAAGTCTAAGTCTCCTCCTCCTCCTCCTCATTTTCCTCCTCCTCCTCCACCTCCTCCTCCGCCACCTCCTCCTCCTCCTCTTCCTCCTCCTCCTCCCGCTGGGGGAGCGGGAGGAAGAAATTTAACTCTCAATTTCCGACACCCTGGTGCGGAACATCGTGGCCACAGCTAGATTCGCCTTGAATTGATGGTCGGGACGCACTCCAGGAGAGCTCTGAGTGTCGGAGTTGAGGTTCGCGAAGGGGAGGTGGGGAAGAGGGGGGGAAGGGGGAGAGGAGGAGGTGGAGGACGAGGAAGGCAGGATAACAAGGGGTAGGGGGAGAGGGGAGAGAGGGAGGAGGAGGAGGAGGAGGCGGAGGAGGAGGAGGAGGAGGAGGAAGTGGGAAAGGGGAGGATTAGGAGGAGGAGGAGGAGGAGGAGGAGAAGGGCCTTTCTGGCCGCGGGCGCCCGCGCCGCCGCGCCAGGACCCAATTGGAGGGGCTGGCATAAGCACGCCCGCCGCCGTCGGCGGCGGGCGTACATCCCGAACCGGATATCCCACCAGACGAGGACACCCTACGTCTGCAGCTTCATCCACCAGAGGATGAACATCCTTGTGTGCTGTGTGGTGCACGTGGAGGCGAACCACCGCGACTACTGCGCTAACCACCGGGGCAGCGTGAACCGCGGGAAGAGCAACATCTGCGTCTACAGCATGCACTACTTGCTGTCGGACAACAATGGCCACGGAGTACTCAGGCAAAGAAAGAAGCCCCGAGCGGGCCTAGAAGGAAGACGGATTGCTTCTTGGACGGCCCGCTCGAACAAAAGAATCGTATTTCCTACGCTGGTCGATGGTAGTGCTACCTGGGCACTCCCAGGTTCTGTGGCACTCAATCTCTGGCACCCCACGATCACACCGATCGGACGACAATGGCCACGGAGTACTTAGGCAAAGAAAGAAGCCCCGAGCAGGCCGGGACAGAAGACGGATTGTTTCCTGGACGGCCCGCTTGCACAAAGAATCGGATTTCCTACGCTGGTCGATGGTAGTGTTACCTGGGCACTCCCAGGTTCTGTGGCACTCAATCTCTGGCACCCCACGATCACACCGAGTGCAAATGGCTTGATCGGGCGAAATCAAGCCGGCATTTGCAAGTCGGCCCCTAGTCCAAGCACTGGCTCAATATACCGTGGGAGCGCGACCTCGATACAACGGAGCGGTGGCCACAGATGGCCTACAAAATTTGTTTCACAGCCTACGTTGCGTCAGAGAGTCCGCCATGCCCTCCAAATAGCAGCCGTTCTGGTGTCGGCTAGCTGTCTGCCAGCGCTGCGAGCACGAGTCCCAAAGCTCCTCCAGAAAGGGTTCTGTTCGCAGCCAGCAGGACGAGGAGCAGGACGAGGACGAGGAGGAGGGGGAGGAGAAGGAGGAGGAGGAGGAGGAGGTGGAGGAGGTAGAGGAGGTGGAGGAGGAGGAGGAGGAGGAGGAGGTGGAGGAAGAGGAGGAGGAGGAGGAGGAGGAGAGGTAGAGGAGGTGGAGGAGAAGGAGGAGGAGGAGGAGGAGGAGGGGGGAGAAAGCAGGCAGGGACAGTGGCACGAGAGCACCGCATCACAGAGACTCCTCGGCCCGCCTCCGCGTTGCAGGGGGCCTCCCCGGCGCACTCCTGGGGCGCGATGGTGAAGTCGATGGTGTCATTGAAGTGGCTGGGCCCAGAAGTCATATGGTGGACCTGAGGGAGGAGGAGGAGGAGGAGGAGGAGGAGGAGGAGGAGGTGGAGGAGGAGGAGGAGGAGGAGGACGAGGAGGAGGAGAGGAGGAGGAGAAGGAGTAGGAGGAGGAGGAGGAGGAGGAGGAGGAGGACGAGGACGGGGAGGAGTAGGAAGAGGAGGAGGAGGAGGAGGAGGAGGAGGAGGGGCGCCAGGCACGATACAGGCCTGTGCGGTTTGGGCGTTTCTGAGCACCTCGCCGAGAACGCTGGAAAAAAAACGATGGAACAAAAAACTGGTGCGACCCCAAGTAGGGGAAAGCTTCAAATTGCATGGGCGCAATGCTTGGTATTGCTTGGCAATGCTTGGAATTGCGTGGCTTGCTTGGCAGTGTTTGGTACTCTTGGCGGGAATCCGAGGAACTCGGGAAACCCAGCAACCCGGGGAAGCCAGGAACCCGGGGAACCCGGGAAACCGGAAACCCGAAGAACCTCAACGAAACGACAACGTAACGATAGGGGCCCGTGGGCGGGGAACCCGAGAAACCTCGAAGCGGGCAAGGCAACAATAGCAGGACCAACCATTTCCAAGTAAGAGGCCCTCGTAAAGAATCCTTGCAATAAGCCCTTAATAAGGCACCCGAGTGAAGAAGATTTGGCAAGCAATCCTCAGTAACGACTCCTCCGGGACCTTTGTGAAAGAATCCGAATGGGGAACCCTGAACAAAAAGGTTCCCTACTATGGGGATCCTACTAAGGAGTCGTTGACAGTTCAAACATATGAGAAAATCTTAATCAGGAACATGGTGTAAGGAATCCTACTACATACCCGTGTAAGGAATCATGACGAATAATCCTTACGAAAGAATTCTGGCCGGGATCCTTAGGATTCCTGGCAGCGCCTCCTCAGTGGGACCCCGTAGTAAAGAAACCTTGCGAAGGAGGTCTTGTTAAGAAATCCCGATGGTAAAATCTTGGCCCTGACAAGAAATCATGAATAAGGTAGCCTTAAGGAGGGCGCCTTACATCAGGAATCCTCACCAAGGAAACCGTACGACGGCTCCTTCCGAGGGAACCATTAGTGAGGTGTCCTTACTTGGGAAACCTTACAGAGGAATGGTTGACAGTGCGCTCTTACTAAGGAATGCGACTTAAGTGATCGCTCGTCAGGATGACTTGGTAAGGACTACTTGCTCGGGAATCATCAGTGAAGGGTACCTCCAATGAAAACCGATAGAAGGAATACAACCTAATTAACCCTTGTGAAAGATTCCTTGAGCACGGGCCAGTGATAAAAACACTTAGTGAGGAATCCTCAGTCAGGGTTCCGTAAGGAGGGATCCTGCCCAGGGAATCCTTAGTATTTGATCGCGCCTCCTTGGTAAGAGGACCCTGATAGCGAACTGTTGAAGAACAAATATTCGGAACGAATCCGTACAAGGACATCCTTCGTAAAGACTCCTGGCTAAGGAATCCTCAGCAAGACACCCTTAGTGAGGAATCCGAACTAGGAAATCAACACTGGCGAATTCGGACTAGGGAATCCTTTGTAAGGAGCCCTCAGAAAGGATTCATGGTTAAACGGGTTCCCCAACAAGTAATCTTACGTAATGGGTCGTTCGTAGGGAGTCCCGAGCAAGGTTTCCTTACGAGGGGCTCTTTGATAACGTGCCCATACTATGAATTCTTGTTGCTGAAATCCTTAGTTCAGAGATCCGCATTAACGAACCAGGCTAGGGACTCCTTGGTAAGGAACCCTCCGTAAGGTGTTCTTACTAGGGAGCTGTTGCTGAGGAATCCTTGATCGCAAATCCATGTTCAAGAGCCCTTTGTAAAGAATCCGGGTTAAACATGGTCCTGGCTGAGAAATCTTACCTACTGGGTCCTTCGTAAGGAATCCTGAGCAAGGTTTCCTTACTAGGGGGTCGTTAGTAAAGCGCCCGTAGTAAAGAATCCTTGTGCGGGAATCCTTACCCAGGGATCCTTAATAGGGGTCCTCAATAATGAATCCCGAATCCCTTCCTGAGAAAAAAATGCGAACACCACCCAGGCCTGCATCGTGCCTGGTGCGGGGAAGGGAGGATGAGGGAGAATGGGAGGGCGAAAGAGGAGAGTGACAGGTGAAGAAGAGAAGGGGAGGAGGGCGAAGAGAAGGCAGAGACGGGTAGCTGGGCCAGGAGGTCATGTGTTTCCCGAGTGTCCCCTGTCATTGGCAGTTTGTACATTGTACAACCTTGTTGAGCGAGCGACAAGGATTAAGCAGGGATACTCGTAGGAGGACGGTTGGGAGGGGGGCGGCGGAGTACAGTTGCGATTTGAAATGGGGGAGAGCATCAGCATGCCAGGCAACCAGCGAACGCCTGAGGATTCCAAACAGAGCATGCCAGGAGGCAGTAGGGCCCAGAAACCTGCTAAGGATGCCCGGGACCGAGGGATGCAAGGGTTGCTTGCATCTTGGGAGCGCCCTCGTTGTACACGGTTTGACTCGTGAGGAAGACGAAGAGGATGAGGACGACCTCCATTCTCCCGCTTTTCCTGCTTATCCTGCCTCCTCCGTCCCTTTATACACGGTTTGACTCGTGAGGAAGTCGAGGAGGACGAGGACGGCCTCCCTTCTCCGCTTCTTCCTGCTCCTCCTGCCTCCTCCCTCAGTTGTGTTCCTCCTCCTCCTCCTTCTCCTCCTCCTCCTCCTCCTCCCTTGCGTCCTGCTCCTATTTCCACGTGCTGAAGGGGCCCACGCACACGCAAAGAAATAGATACACACAGAACCCAGGATTCCCATACATTTATATATACATATATTTAGATGTGTGTATGTATCTAGATGTATATATACAGTCATGCATGTATTTACACATATGTGTACATATATGATTTGACGTCTATGTATACACATCTAAACGTAGCTGTACATATATATATATATATATATGTATACAAATATATGTATTTATATATATGCACCTATATATGTATATGTATGATATATATATACCTGGGCAGGTAAACTGGCACATATGTGTGTGTGTGTGCACCTGTGTCTTGGATGATCGCCTTCCGCTCCACTTCCCACATGTTTTCACATGATCCTGGGAGTCGGCGTTCATTTGTAGATCTGTGTGTGTGGTGCTTACACTCCTGGCGTATTCTGGCTCGTGGCGCATCATGACGCTACTACGGTCAGGTCGGGCATGTCCCCATACAGGCGGATTTTGGGCGAAACATAGAAATACGCAGAACATGCCCCAGCATAGTCAAAAGATGCTCTCAAAAATCGTCCCCAGACTATTTCTTCACTATGTTTGACTATTCCTCCTGTAGAGGGGCACGCCCGACATCATACTGCGGACACCGCGCGGGGCGAGGGGCAAATTGCTCAAATCCTGGGACCCAGCCTCGGCGGTGGACAAACCCCCCTTTAGCAAACCACGCTTTAGTGAAAAAGGCCTGGGACCGAAACCGACGGACCTGAACCCGCGAAAATGACGGCCGCGACCCCCTCTCGCGAACCGAAAACGGCCAACTCGCTAATTGACGTGTCAGGGTCGGAGGTCGATCAGCCTCCGACAGCCTAGTTCTGCGCTTCACAGCCCTGGGGTCCGGGGAGACGCCGCCCCAGAAGCCCGAAAACGACCTCCAGGACCCCATTGCCCTTGGCAAGGCCCCGTCTCGGTGAGCCTCTGAACGTGTGTCAGCGGCAACCGAAGGGGCCCAGGGACACAGAAAATGAATACATGCCAATCCCAGGATTCCCCATATCTCCCCACATTTTTGGGACTTTCGTCTTCCCCTCCACTTCACAGATTGTCCCATATTTTCTGGGGGATCGACGATTCATTGTGTCTGTATGTTTTCCCTCATGAGCAACGTGTGCTTGCCCACCTGAGCCATTCTTCATGGCGCAGGCGGTAAAACGAGCACCGAGACAGGTCTGCATCTGCGTGCTGTCTGTGGGGGTGAGCGGGGTAACAAACACCTTGGGCCAACAGAAGTCCTGAGGATCCTCTGCATTCCCCTCACGGCGAGGTAATGCCTTTGGTGTCCGTGCAATGGGAGCTTACGTGGCCCCCAGCGCTGTCCGATGTGGGCTTGCTTTAAACCGGATTCGCCCCCGCACTAGGGAGACGAGGAGGACGAGGAGGGTGGGGAAGAACTCGGAGAAACAGGAGGAGGAAGGGCGAGGAGGAGCGGGAGGAAGGGCCACATGCGGTCCAAACGCGGTCCGAATGCAGGAATAGCTGGTTTCAAAGTCGCCTTCCAAGGCTCCCATGCACAGACGTCGAACCTGCCCAATGAAAGCCACGCCCTGCTTGAACGGCCGGAGGTCGGCGAATCCCAGGGTGCCCTCGAAGGTCGGCTGCAGGGTGAAGAGGCCGTCCGGCCCGCCCCCCGCGAGGCTCCTCGAGGGGGCCGCCGGGGCCGCCGGGACGGATCGTCGCGGATCCAAGCTCGAGGCTCCTCCCAGGGCTCGAGCTGAGCAGCGGCGCTTCGTCTCCGCTCCGTGCTCGTGTCTCCCTCGTTCTGGCTGCGTGCCGCCTCCGCCGCCCAAAAACGAGGGCAAGACGACAACGGCCCGCGAGATCGCCCAGGCACCCGATTCGGCTCGGGCCCCGCCTCGCAGAGCCAGGCCAGCGAGGCCTCTCCCCGAGGCTCTGGCCTCCAGGCGCCCGCTCTGGGCCCCATGGGGCCGTGGGAAAACTCGGCGGCAAGCCCCACGCGGCGTCCACTGGGGAAAGTCCGACCCACCAGGAGGAGGAGGAGGGGGAGGAGGAGGGGAGGAGGAGGAAGAGGAGGAGGAGGAAGAGGAGGAGGAGGAGGAGGAGGAGCAGGAGCAGGCCTGCCCCCTCGCCCCCCCCCTCTCCCCATGGGGCGCGCCGCCCGGAGAGAACGGCCGCGGGCGCAGGGCCGGTCGCTGGGGGCGGGCCCTGGGGTGCGGGGCCCGCGTCCCCTGCAGAACCCTTCCGCGTGGGGGGTTGACTACACCCTGCGAAATGCTTAAGAAATCATGGGTTAAGAAATTCATAGTCTCAGAACTTGCGTAAAAAACCCAACATTTCTATTGAAATCTTAGGATTTACATTGAAACGTTAAGAATAATCGAGACTCTGGCCGAAAACTTAGGTTTTCTTAAGCATGGCCTAAGGTGTACCGACCAGACCACGCCCAACCCAACCCGCAGACCCGAAGTTGACCCGAGTTTCGGGTTGGGGGGGGGTACGGATACCATGTTTGTTTTTTTCAACGCTCCCCGACCGCCCCCCCCCCACTGGAGATGGAAGGCAGATTGAGGGCTTCGGGTTGGGTTGGGGTGGTTTGGTGGGTGGTGAGGGATCGACCACAGAGTGGCTGTTCCCCAGATTCAACTTCCACGTCAAATCTACGCGCGAATACGCAGACTCGGAAACATAAATGCTGGGGTAGATCAATTCTGTTAGTCGATCCCATACTCGAACCCTGGGGCCCTCCTTGGCCGCCTCAGGGGGACGCCACCGAAATTACAGGGGCCGAGGAGGCAGAGGCGGACGGGGAAGCTGGGGGCGGGGGGGGGAGGGGCAGGTGCAGAACAAGGCTCGAGCTAAACAGTGTTTTGCGTTTTCGCTATGTGTTCGTCCTCCTTCGTTCTGTCTTCGTTCTACCTTTGCCGCGAAACGACATCTAACCGAAAACGGCCCACGACATCGCCAAAACGCCGTGGTGCAGGGGGGCGGGTGGGGGATGGGGGCGCCTTGCTCTCTGGAGGGTCAACGGTATCGGGGGCGCGCAAACATGGATTAGCGATCCATGGATTTGGTGCGCGGTCGCCAAATTCATGGATCGGGGAAGGCGCCCTCCCCAAAGTGCCGCCTCGCTCGGCGGCGGAAATACCAGCGATTCCCCACGGACACGGGACCCGTCGCTAATCCAGGCCCCCGTGATCCATGTCTGCGATCGCCTGACCAGCCCCCTGCCCCAGGAGCCCGGTCCGGTCGACTTGAATTGAGCAGGGACCGACCGTCCCAGCATTCCTATAGTCCTACCACGAAATGTTTTTAGAACCCCAAAATGTTCTAAGAACAAAATAATGTTCTTAGAACATATTCCCGATGTATTAAAACAAGACAGTCTCGACCAGAAATGTTCTAAGAACATTTCCTGGAAACCACAAAAGGTTCTTAGAACATTGTTTGGCAGGGCTATAGAAGAGCCAGGACGGTTCGCCTCTGCTTGAAGTCCGGTCGACTTGGAGGTGGGGGGGGGTCCCCGGGGGACCGGCCGAACGGGCCAGGGGGAGGACAGAGGGCCCCAAGACGGGTCAAGAGTGCCCCAGGAGGCTCCTCGGACGGTCCAAGAGGGCCACGGATCGCCGAATGGTCAATCCAAAACGCCTGACGGTAGTGAGGGGCACTTGGCTGAAGGGGGGTAGACATCGACCTGGACTCGGCGACGCATCGCCGACAGCTCGGCGACGGGCCCCAGACCGTGAATCTCCGCGGGCTTTATCGGGCCCCTGGCGGCGATCGGCGGGCGAGTGGGGATCGATACATCCCGCCGAGCCTCGCCCCCCCAACGTCGTTGCCCCTGCTGGGTGCCGAACGGGAGGAGAGACATAGCAGCTCGCCTGTCTGCGTCACCAGGCCTCCGGCGTGCGCAGCGCAGTGCTTCTTCCAGCCCGTGGGCCCCGAAGCAGTTGACCCCCTCCTGTGTGTTTTCGACCCGGGTCGTTATCTGGCGGCCCCCGTGGGCCCCAAAAGCGGCCCCCAGAGGCCGAACCCGAGGAAGCCGCCAGGACTGCGAAGATCACGACAATTGCCTGTGGCTTTCGTCACCCACGGGGGCTCTTGTTCAGCATCTGCACGGCAGTGGCTGGGTCCTCCTTAACGACGAAGGTCCAGAGGAAGAACCACGACTTGCCCCCGTTGTCGGGCCATGCAAGGTAATAGCAAGCATCCACGTGCCCTTCTACTCGCCTCCTGTTCCTCCTGCTCCTCCTGCTCCTCCTGCTCCTCCTCCACCTCCTCTCTCTCCTCCTTCGAGCGTTCGGCGAGGGGGAGTTCGGACAAGAGGGGAGCTTACAGAACAGACACGACGATGGACAGCCCCTGGAGAAGAAGACATGAGCCATTCACCGGGTTCGCTTTCCAACGACAACCTGGACCAGCACCCACTTCCACGGACCGCGGACATTCTGCGTCGGCGTTTCGTCGTCGGCGTCGTCGCTTCGGCATCGTCGTCGTCGCTTCGGTGCCGTCGCTTCGGCGCTGTCGTCGGCGTCGCTTCGGCGTCGCTGCCGCAACCTCGGCGCCTCCTCTCGCGCTCCCACCTCGGCGCTCCCTCGCCATCGCTCGGACGTCCATTCCCTGTGGTTTTGTTCCGTTTCGTGCGTGGCTTGTTCGCCAAATGATCAAGGATGCTCCTCGATGGTCCTCGCCGAAGGAAAAATGCACACGTCCGAGCGATGCCAAGCTCCTCTCAGGAACACGCTACCCTGGACTACGCATCCGTGGATCTGGCGCGCGGGGGCCGGGGGGGCGAATCCGAGGATCGGGAAAGTACCCCCCCCCCCGAGACATGAAGCCGGAGCCACCCGATTCGACGACGAGGCGCCGCTGATCCACGCGCCTTCATCCATGTGTGCTGCACTTCCTCATCCCTCCTCCTCACTCCTCCTTCCTCCTCCTCTACCTCTTCCTCCTCCTCCTCCTCCTCCTTCTCCTCCTTCGCCTCCTCCGCCTCCCCCTCGCTCCTCCTCGCTCATCCTCCCTCCTCCTTCCTCCTCCTCCTCCTCCTCTTCCTCCTACTCCTCCTTCGTCCTCCTCCTCCCTTTTCCTCCTCCTCCTCATCCTCCTTCTTCCTCCTCCTTCCTCCTCCCTCCTCCTCCTCCTCCTCCTCCTCCTCCTCCTCCTCCTCCTCCTCTCCCTCCCTCCTCTCCCTCCCTCCCTCCCTCCCCTCCCTCCCTCCCTCCTCCCTCCCTCCCTCCTCCTCCTCCTCCTCCTCCTCCTCCTCCTCCTCCTCCTCCTCCGCCGCATTCCTCCTCATCCCCTCCTCCCCCTCCCCTGCTCCTCCACCTCCTCCTCCTCCTCCTTCTCCTCCTCCTCTTCCTCCTCCTCCTCCATTATCCGGAACTTCTCCCTGTCGCACCCCGAGGCAATTTTTTAGGGCGGGCAGGGCGTTTTGCCTGAGAATGCCTCACCATGTATTACTCTGAAGCATAAGAAATGACAACAATTTCACAAATAAAAGGCGGGTCGTTTTCAAAACGTGGCACTCGCCTCAGCGCCGCTCTCATTCCTTTGTGAACAGTTTCAACAACTTCGCGGATTGACGGCGACCCGTTCTCAAAATGTGGCTCTCGCCTTAGCGCCGCGCTCATTCCATTTCAGCATTTGCGAAAACTTTACGAATTGAGGCGGATCGTTTCAACATGTGGCGCTCGCCTTAGCACCGCGCCCATTCCTTCTGAACATTTACAAGAACTTCACGGATTGAGGGCGGCTCCTTTTCAAAATGTGGCTCTCGCCATAGCGCCGCGCGCATTCGATTGAAAAGTTGCAAGAGCTTCACGGATTGAGGGCGGCTCCTTTTCAAAATGTGGTTTTCGCCTTAGCGCCGCGCGCATTCGATTGGAAAGTTGCAAGAGCTTCACGGATTGAGGGCGGCTCCTTTTCAAAATGTGGCTCTCGCCTAAACGCCGCGGACATTATTCACACGATGATGTAAGAACTTCACGGATTTCCCTGATCGACGTGCCAGAAATTGCGTTCTGGACGGATACACGACTATGGAGGCGCAACAGTTAGTGTACATGATTCGCAGTGTTGAAGTTCGAGGAATGACGTTCTGGCACGATTCAGGATCGTCAAGACGCAACAGTCAGGTTGACCAGTGGTTTTGGAATCCCGAAAACAATGTTTTGGCATGCTTCAGAGTCTTCAAACGGTTGTCTTTCAACGAGGCAATTCCCTCAGTGGAAATAGACCGTTGTAGGGACCTATGAAGAGGGAGCTTGGAGGGAGGGTTTATTCCAACATCGTTGATGACTCTTGGGTTTACACTGGTCCTCCTCCTCCTCCTCCTCCTCCTCATCCTCCACCTCCTCCTCCTCCTCCTCCTCCTCCTCCTCCTCCTCATCCTATCCTCCTTTACTCCTTTCCTCCTCCTCCTCCTCCTCCTCGTTCCTCCTCCTCCTCCTCTCGGGGGGGGATTCTTCCCGGAGGGGGCGGGGGCCCGACGCCCTCCCCCTCTGGACGAAGGCCAGCTTGCAGCAGGCGTTGCCGCAGCTGCCCTTGTCCACATTGGCGCAGTCCGGGACCTTGGGAGGGGGCGGGGGGTGCGCAGCCCTGCGGGCGGCGGTATCCTCCCCGTCTTCCGGGGGCGGGGGGAGGGAGGCGGGGAGGGCGGCTTTACGACGAAGCCAGGACGAGGATAAAATCGGGTGAGGAGACACGAATCTCTCAGATCCGGCGACTCTGGAGGATGTCTTGGGCGCCGCGGCCTTCTCAGAGCGTTCTGGAGCGCTACGGAACGCTCTGGGCCGGATTCGTCCTCGTCCTAGCCCCGGCCGAGGGTGGGGGGCAGGAGGGCGGGGGGGGCTGCCTCCAGAAGTTTCATGAACAATCAGGGTGTTCTCCGACTTTTCGGCCTGCTCCTCCCCCTCCTTCTCCTCCTCTGCCAGCCCCCCTCTCGTTCCTCTCGAGCGTCGCTGGCCAGGGGGCAGGAAGCAGGGTCACCAGACTTCGCGCGTCGCGCCCCGCGAGGCGCGACGGGTGATCACCTTCGCGCACCCGCGGGCCCGCGAGGGAAGCGACTGCCCTGAACAGGGCGCGGATGGCGGCAGCGTGGGGGGGTCGTCGCGCGCAGGTGGGGCTGGAGCATCGGGGGGGGGGGAGCAGAGATGTGGACGCCCGAGACACAGGTACGATGTCCAGCAGCAAATGCTGTCCGAAAACGACAGCGGCCGCTGTTGGGCAGGCGGCCTTCTGTCTCAAATGGACGGATCCCTCGGCGGCACCGACAGCGAGTTCTCTTCAAAATGGGCAGGGACCGCTGTCAGTCTTCGTCCCCACATCTGTCCGTGTGTCCGTACTCGTGTCGATCACACCGAAAGCAAGGGCTCCAAACTTCGCGCTTCGCACTGCGCGAAGCGCGAAGTGCGAATAACTTCGCGCTCTCGCGCCGCCTCTTAGGGGGGAAGAGGAGGATGAGGAGAAATCGGAGCCGAACCGCGAAGCGCGAAGCGCGCGTAAGTTCGCGCCCTCGAGGGCGCCCTTGCGAAAGGAAGAGGCAAGAGACAAGAGGACGGTAAGGGGGGGGAGGGAGGAGGCAGGAGGCCGAGTGCGGCAACAGTAGCCTCGGGAAACTTCCCCTCCCAGACATGCGACGTCCTGATTTTGTTCAGGACGGCGTTCGACTACACGCAAGAGTGACCCTGGGTAAGAGTGACCTTTGGTGCGCGGCTTTTTGGGGGCCGCGTGGGGACCAAACCTGGGCGCGCAAGCCGTTGCTCCTGCTTCGTTTTCAGCCATCTGGGGGCCCATCTGTGCCCGCACCAAAGGTCACTCTGGCGAAAGGTCGCTCTTACGTCTAGTCGAGGCGTCCCCGAAGTCCCGACCCTCTCCCCGGGACCGGTTTTTCGTCCTGAGTAATTTTTTGACGGTCCCGAGGCCCGGCGAGGGCCCCCCGGGGCCGAAAATAGCCAAAAACATTCCGCCCTGAGTTTTGCGCGACGCGATTCAAGCCTGGACTCAGGACTCTCATTCTCTGCACGGCGGTCCCTCGGCACAGCCGCGGTGCCCGGCCGGCTCTCAGCCGGGCCGGCCCGCGGGACCACCAGGGCAGCGAGAAGCAGAAACAGCCAGCCGAGCACCCTCCCGCGAGAAGCGGAGGGCGACGACGGCGGCGACGGCGACGGCGACGGCGGCGGCGACGACGGCGGCGACGACGACGACGACGAAAGGGCGACGACGGCAACGCCGGCGGCGACGGCGACGACGAAAGCGGCGACGGCGACGGCGACGGAGACGGCGACAGCGACGGCGACACCGACGACGACGTTCACGACGAGAACGACGGTGACGACAAGGGTGACGACTACGACGACGACGACGACGACGACGACGACGACGACGACGACGACGACGACGACGACGACGACGACGACGGCGGCGGCGGCGGCGGCGGCGGCGGCGGCGGCGGCAGCGGCGGCGGACGACGAGCGGCGGCGACGGCGGCGGCGGCGACAACGACGACGGCCGACGACGGCGAGGACGTCGCTCTTGGCTGCGCGCCCACAGGTGCCGGCCAGCAGCGTGCCCGTGCCTCGGCCAGGGGCGCGCGGCGGCCAAGGCGCGCGGCGGAGGGGGGGCGCTCACACGGCCTACACCCTGCGAGATGCTTTAGAAATCATGGGGTAAGAAATTCATAGTCTCAGAACTTGGAAAAAACCCAACATTTCCATTCAAATCTTAGGATTCACATTGAAACGTTAAGAAAAATCAAGGCTCTGGCCGAAAACTTGAGTTTTCTTAAGCATCGCCCAAGGTGTACAATGATAAACAATCAAAGTATCCCTAACCCTTTGTGGAGGGGACCTAAGTTAGGAGAGATAGGGGGCCTGATTGTTCCGTAAACGTATTGGACGAAGCGACCCCTATCATCAGAGACGTCCTCAAGAACCCTGGACCCAAATTAGGCCACGAATTCATTGTGCCACGAGGGTTAGGGGTTGTACGATGCTTGATGACAGAGCTCTCCTCGACAGCAAACGCAAGTTATGATCCAAACCCTCGCCCCCGACCTTCAATGTTGGTCGACGCGCGCAACGCGGCCCCAGGGGCCCGAACAACAAGGGCAGTCGCCAATGTCGGCGCGAGCGTTGCCATTGGGGGCCCAGGGGCGCCGCCACGTCGTGGGGAAGAAGCTTGCGTATGATATCGAGGAGGGACGTAGGACGCGGCGGGGGGACGAGATCAGTATAGATACACCGACCTGTTGCCAGGGGCGGCGGATATGTTTCCTTCACGCCAAATCATCGGACATTGCATGCTTCAGATGATTCAGCAAGGCGGCAGCGACACGGACTCGGTGCGCCTGGTCCAGCGCAAGCTTCCCACCAGTGCTTAGGAGAGCGCACAGTGACAACAAATGTCAAGCTCGGGCCCGCTGACAGCTGCTTGAAATCTGGACTGGGGGCGGTGATGTGTCAGACTGAGGGGACCGCACGGTCAATCACTGTCCCTGGCCGCGTGGCTCGAGTGAGCTTCTGCGGTGCGGATGTTTGTTGATGTTGTTGTTGGTACTGTTGCTGTTGTAGAGGTTGTTGCTATTGTTGTTGGTGTTGGTGTTGGTGTTGCTGCTGTTGTTGCCATTGCTGTTGCTGTTGCTGTTATTGGAGCGCGTCTATGACGGGCGTCATGGGAGGGGGGCGGGGGGGGTATGACGTAACGCCCCCCCCCCGCCGTGTGGCTCCGGTACCACAGCCGCGCCCGCGCGCACGACGCGACGAGCGACGAGCGACGAGCGACGACGACGACGACGACGCGAGCATCATGTGCGATATGCCCCACTGCATTTGTGTACACCATAACGCTCGCGTGCACCACAGCGCGCGTGTACGAAACAGCGCCTGCATACGCCGCAACAACCGTGTGCAACGCAACGCCTGCGTACACTACAGCGCCGGTGCACATGTGTACACCGCAGCAACCATGTGCAACACAGCGCCTGTGTACACCACAGTGCTTGCGTGCACTGCAGCGCCTGTGCACGCCACAGCGCCTGTTTACACCACAGCATCCGCATGCAACGCAGCGCTAGTGCACACCACAGCGCCTGCGTGCAGGAAGTGCTGATAATCGAATGCGACGTTCTTTCTCCTCCCTCTCCATCCGCCTCCACTTCCTCCTCCTCCTCCTCGTCCTCCTCCTCGTCCTTATCCTCTTCCTCCTTACCCCCTGTCGTGCGGGTTGGCGCTACATCGCACGTGCGAATCTCAGCGTGCACCGCAAAATGGTCAATCGGCCAATTTATCCCGGAAGCAAATGGAAGGAGTTAGGGTGATGCGGGCGGACTCGGGAGGACTCGTAGATTCCAGCGGCGCTCCTTTGTCCATAAAGACTTCTTTCTATTGATTTGTGGAAACCACAAGCGCCCCATTTTGTCAGAAGGACTCCTTCTAACATTTTATATACAACAGTGGTGTTGTGTTGCACACGGTTGCTGTGGTGCACACGAGCGCCGTGGTGCACACAGGCACTGCAATGCACGCAAGCATTGTGATGTACACTGGTGCTGTGTTGCACACGGCTCACGTGGCGTACGCAAGCGCTGTGGTGTGAAGAACAGCTGTTGTACCCGCAGGCACGGTGACACAAACTGACGCTGTGCTGCACGCGGCTGCTGTGGTGTACATGGGCGGCGTGGTGTACACAGGCGCTGTGGTGCACAGGCACTGTGGTGTACACAGGCGTTGTGGTGCAAATCGCCACCTACATGCTGGTGCTACCCGTCCTCCGTCATTCCTAGGCATTCCCAGACGCCGCCGGCGCGAAGCGTGACGTCATCGACCCCCTCCACCCCTCCCAGATGATTGCCGTCATCGGCCCGGAATAAAAACCTGGCTCCAGCCGAGTCCGCGCGCACGACGACGATGAGCGACGAGCGACGAGCCACGAGCGAGGACGACGACAGTGACGACGATGACGACGACAACGACGGCGACGACGACTGCGGACCAGACTCCTGTGCGGATTTCTGCGCGGACACCTATGCGGATCCCAACGCGCACGGCGGCAGTGCCCGGAGAGCACTGGGGGGGGAGCTTTACGTCATAGAGGGGGGGAGCGGGGGCCAGGACGCCCGTCATGCCCCAAGCAATAAAGAAACGGGCTCTTGTTGCTATTGCTGGTGTTGGTGCTGGTGTTGGTGTTGGTGTTGTTGTTACGGTTGTTGTTGGTGGTGGTGTTGTTGTTGGTGCTGCTGTTGTTGTTTTATGTGTTGTTGACGTTTTCGTTGGTGTTGGTGTTGGTGTTGTTGTTGGTGGTGGTGTTGTTATGATTGCTGCTGCTGCTGCTGCTGTTGTTGTTGTTGATGTTGTTGTTGTTGTTGTGGTTGTGGTTGTGGTTGTGGTTGTGGTTGTGGTTGTGGTTGTGGTTGTGGTTGTGGTTGTTGATGTTGTTGTTGTTGATGTTGATGTTGTTGCTGTTGACGTTGTCGTTGTTGTTGTTGATGTTGATGTTGTTGCCGTTGACGTTGTCGTTGTTGTTGTTGATGTTGTTGGTGTTGTTGGTGTTGTTGTTGTTGCTGTTGCTGTTGTTGTTGTTGCTGTTGTTGTTGCTGTTGTTGTTGTTGTTGTTGTTGTTGTTGTTGTTGTTGTCGTCCCCCCCGCGACCCGGCCCGCGACCAACCCGCGACCCAGCCGCGATCCACCTCGCGACCCACACGCGACCCACTCCGCGACCCGACCCACCCCGCGACCCGCCCGCGATCCACCCCGCGACCCGCCCCGCGACCCACCCCGAGTGCTTCAACGAACCAATCTGCGCCTGTGGCGGGCTCACTGCACAGCGTGTGATTGCTGAGCACCTTCGGCGGGCTTCCTCGGAGCCTCGCAGCCTGCCGATGTCCTCGCCGCCCCCTCGCTCTTATCCGCAGCTGCTGGGTGCGCCACGTGTAGATTTCGTGGCCCGAGCGGGGGGGGGGGGGGCGGTCTTCTTGAGAGGGCAGGGGGCCTCTCGCAAGCGGCGGGCCCTCTAGGAGCTCACGTCGTGGACCCTGGTGTCACCTGTGGGCCGGCTTTCGGCGGCCGCTGGCGCTGTCCGGCGACCGTCGGCGATCTTCGGCGGTCTCTGGCGGCTTTGTTCCGTGGCGCGGGGCAGGAATGGCTGCGCTCAACAGAATGGGTCCCTGAGTGCACACGTGATGAAGACGAGGGCTGGGCCCTCGAAGGGCCGCGCCCCCCCCCCCCCGCGCCGCCTGACAGCGGCGCGGCCGTCGCGGCTCGCTGTAGTTACAGAGTATCGTTGTAGACGGCTGGACCCCGAGGACGGCACTCAGGAGCCCATCAGCACACACAGGCGCACCCACACACGAGAAAATGCGAGCGCCGTATGTCTTATGTGACGCCTGGCGGTGCCATGTTCTACTCCTCGACATTGGCCCTGGTTTTTGCGCTGGAGCGCAATCCGACCAGGATCCCGAGGCGGATCCGGCCGTGGCGACGAGGACCCTCCAAAGAGCTTCAAGAAGGGCGAACACAAACAGGAGAAGGCCCGTGCCTGCGAAGAGGACGAGCCCCCCCCGCCCAAGATGTTCAAAAAGCGTCTCCACGTGGCCCCGGGGCCCGATGCTGCCCGCGAGGCCCTGGAACGGGCTGGCCTGACTCGGCGCTGACCTGGCCACGAGGCGGAGCTCCCAAGCCCGGGTCAGCGGAAGGTGGGAGAGCGCTCTTTCCTTGTTGCTCGCACCATACCTGAGGACCGCATTCCAGAAATAATTTTGAGCACCCGAAAAAGTGTCGAAAGAGTGTCGAAACAGTGTCGAAACAGCGTCTCCCAGGGCCCGACACGTGAAAACCCTTGAGTTTGTGGGTACTTTTTGGGGTACTCGAAATTCTTTCTGGTGATCAAGGCAAAAAAATAGGTTGGAACACCACAACTCTTTCCTTGTCCCCTCCCCCACCCCTGCCGACGCTGCCCCAAAAATCGTCTCCACGTGGCCCCAGGGGCTCTGGGACGGGCTGGCCTGGCTCCAGCGCCGACCCCGCTGTCAGCCAGGGCGGCCTCGCGAACCCGAGCCCGCCACGAACCACAGCAACCCCAGCCCGGGTGAGCGGAAGGGGGGAGCGCACGTCTTTCATTGAGCTCAAGCAGGTTACTTCGCACGCGCCTCCACCCCCCCCCACTCTAGGCGGCGAGCCAGGGGGGGGAATGAACAGGGGCGAGCCTTCTCAGAAGGCTCGGAAGTCACCCGGCCTTCTGATGCGAAGGCACATCTTACCTTTACGTCGGGCGTGCCAATCTACAGGAGGAAGATTCGAAAATAGGTTTTAAATAATATGTGGATTACTTCTCGATTTTCTGGCTATTATTGAATATGTTGTTACTATTCTTTATTTGTCGCCCAAAATCCGCCTGTATGAGGACATGCCTGATCCAAGATTACCTCGCTCCAGGGTTTCTGAGAAGCCCCGCCGCCTTCTGAGACGGCCCTCGCCTTCCCACTTCCCCCCCTCGCTCGCCCCCGACTTGTTGCCCCCCTGGCAATAAGTGTCTAGGTCTGGGTCGCGATTGTCTAGGTTTGGCGCGCCGATGTCTAGGTCTGGTGTCTAAGTGTCTAGCGTCTAAATCACATGAACGCCCGATTGTCTAGGTCTGGCGCAACGCTGGCCGGCGAATTCATTTTGCGGCGGCCCCCCCGGGGGGACCGTCGCCGTTCGCGGGCGGCAGCTCCGGCGCGGCGGCCGCCGCAGGGCCCAGCAACAGGGGCAGCAGCGCGAGCAGGGCGGCGGGGGCGGCCATCGCAGAAGTCCGGGCGTCGCGAGCTCTGAACCAAAGGGGCCCCTGTGTCGCCGGGCGATGCCCGGGCACCCCCCAGCACCGCCTCCGTCCCAGGCCCGCACGCGCGTGGTCCTTCACGAAGACGGGCGGATGGGGGAGGGAAAGGATACAGATGAGAAGAGAAAGGGAGAAACGGAGGAAAACGAACAGGAGGGGACCTGCGGACTGGCAGTGACAAGAATTCTGGGTTGTCCGAGGCACAAGAGCCACATCGCAAACGATTTCGAAGATGGACTGGCACTGGCACATGGGCGTATCTTCTGAGAAGATGCAAGAAGCCATGTTTTCTCCCTCGAGGTACCCGAACACCATTGGCAAATCAGAGCGCACAACGGAACGCTTTGGTGCAAGAATTTCGTGCCGCGAGATATGAGGCCTGCCAAACCAATCGGAACGCCATAGTCACACACACACACACGCACCCATCGGCTGATAAGCCGAACGTGGAGAATGAAACGTATCTCATCATTGTCAACCTCACTGGTGGCTAACGTAGCGGTGCGCTCGAACAACACACTCATTCCTGCACGGGGTTGGTCATGAGGGATGTGTTAACATTTCTGAAATTTCCGGTCTCGTACATTGGCATTGCACACTTCCGCGAATCGCATCGTGTTCAGGTTTACCTAGCCTCCTGGACCTCGGGCAACGTAACATCGCAAACTGGGTCGTCTGTGCAGGGGCTCGGTGAAGCCGTTACAGCTGCTGCCGAGGCCATCGCAGGGAGAAGGGTGCTTCGCGAAGGTAGCCACGCGCATTGAACCCACGGGTTGAACCACGTGCTCTGCAACCATGATAATATGATAAGTTTGTTTCCCCTGGTGGCAAACAGCACTTGAACCAAATGGCGTCGGCAACCGAACACCACTGGCAAGGCAACGAGCAAGATCACAC